CCCTCCCTCCCTTCTACCCTCCCTTCCTTTTCTCCTCCCTCCCTCCCTTCCTCCCTCCCTCCCTTCCTCCCTGCCTCTTTATTGCATTCACATTTTCAGCCATTTCTGTCTCTAAAAGGCCAAAACTTCATATGCTTGTTACTGTACTTTCAGAGCTTAGAATATTGCCTAGCACACAGAACGTGTTCAAAGTATCACTGTTACATGAGCCGATGAATGAAGGAAAGCCAATTCACTTTTACATATCAGCTAATGCTTCATAAAAGTTTTGTGACTTTCCATAGAAATAGGAAAATTGTGTTTTTGAATGTCAACTATGTTCCAGGCCCTGTGCTAGGAATGGCTGGGGAAGTCATTCCACAGAGTCGTGGTGGAATGCAGAATGGAACTGCCATTATCTTTAACTGAGCTTAATTTCTATTTTGGGTTCTTGTTTTATTGGGCAGGAAAACTCCATTTTAATTTGTCTGGGATTTCATGTCCCTCTGTACAATTTCCAAAGCTGATGTGCAGGAGGGGGAGAGCAGAGTCCCTGCTGTCTGCCCCTGGCTGGCGTCTGAAGCAGTGTCCTTGTTGTCCACTGGTCCTTGGTTATCCTCTGCTCAGGTTGCTTCAGGTGTGACCCTCTCAGCTAATTCCTGACTCCTGAGCACACAGCGGCTGCTTCAAAGGCCAGGCTGACACTTGGCAACTCTGCCCCCTTTCCTCACTGAGATGCAGGAGATCATTCTGCTGTATCTGAGTAGAGAAAGCAGCTAAAGATAGGACTTGGGGGAGTTTGGGAAACAAGCAGGGGATGTGTGCAGCATCTGCAGCCCCCCATAAAGGGTTATGTGAGAGAGAGACAGAGAGAGAGAGAAAGAGAGAGAGAGACAGAGAGAGAGAAAGAGAGACAGAGAGAGAGAGAGGAAGACAGAGAGAGAGAGACAGAAAGAGAGAGAGAAAGAGAGACAGAGAGAGGGGAGACAGAGAGAGAGAAAGAGAGAGAGACAGAGAGACAGAGAGAGAGAGAGGGAGACAGAGAGAGAGAAAAGAGAGAGAAAGAGAGAGAGAGAGGTCAAATATCATGAGAAACAAAATGAAATGATGGAAAAGAGGCCTAGTGTCACGTCCACGAGATGCCCAGACAAATATAAGAAAGAAAGGTTAGCTAATATACAACACGACATAGACGAACCAACTTAATTGGCACTTTCTTCCTTAGTGAAAACTTTGCAGTTGTTCTGCTAGAAACTCAGCGAAGGACCTTTCCATCTTCAGCTGCGAGATGGCTGACCACTGCGAGGGCCGCTGGCTGTGTCCTCCACACGTGGTTTTAACTGACTCGGCCCGCTTTAAAGACCATATTCCATCCTTAGATTGTGCAGTTTCTTAGACGGCGGCGGCGGCCTTCTGTTATGGTCAGCTTCTCATTTGCTCTCCGCCCATCCCCCAGAGGAAAGGCTCTGTGGGGGCTTCACACAGAACAGCTGCCTGGAACACGCACGGGGCAGTTTACATTAGGCTGTTTTTTCTTGAGAAAGTCATAGTTTAAACAAATGGTTGTGTCTATTTTAATCATTTTTGCCCTCTTTTGAAGTGTTTTTTCAAACATAAGTTTTTTTTTAGCGTGGAGTTTTGCATTATAAATCAGTCTGCTCTGTCGTGTCCCTTTTAAACACAGCTGTTACTACAGTGTAAACAGAGTTTTTAAAATGTAGATAAACAGTTACAAGAGGAAGAGTTTCAAGTGTTTTTAACACATGGTCAGTTTTTGCTTACTTGAATTCTGGGGTTTGAAAGTTGAATTTGAAATACACTTTTGATTTCACAGATGTCAAGCTATTTGATGCAGCTGTTCACAGATGTCAGATAAGACATTTTCATTTCACAGTTGGCGCAATTTTGACAATATCACATTTTTGAAGTCATATCAGTAGTAAACATGCAATGAGCATGGACATCGTACAGTGATGCACTACAATACCTTTCGAGGCATAAGCGCTGAATGAAGAAATTATCTAGTAGGCAGGCCAGTGCTGAATTAGAAAGCAATTTTTTGTGTTCACCTAAGCAACATGAAATATATACCATTATGCTGGGATCTTGATAGGAGCTATAGTTTTAATCCCAGGAAGAAAAATAAGAGAGTATACTAGTTATCCACTTTAATAATCTTATATTCTAAGAATTTGTGCCTAAGTACACACCTTAAAAAGTTAAAAATTAGGCATTATTTGGACATAAAGCTTTGGACTGATCTAAGTTTATTGTTTTAATAAAATTCTAACCAATGAATCTACTACAGCACGGGCGTGTTGATTCCTGAGCATCAGAGGCAAAGTGCGGGGCTTCCAGGCACACAGAACCACAGGCCTTTGAAAGTGGCAGAGGATTGGAATTAAAGCATTTCAGGAGGAGATTTTTTTTTTTTTTTTTTTTTGCATAGGAGAAGCAATACAATAATATACTTAAAATCAATATTTTCATGAAATATCTGGAAATCGGATAGCAAAAATGTTCTAATGGATGACTAAAGAAATCCCTTTTTAAATTATTATCCAGAACTCCCAGTTCATTACTTATTTGTAATCTGCTATGTTACACAAATATATACATTTTGTGCTACATAATTTTATGTAATTATTTGGCAAATGTTGTAGGTGTTACCATGTAAATTAAAAGTGAAGGTAAAATTAAATCCTATCTAAATACACTTTAGATTTAGTTAGATATTTAGAATATTTAGTTAGATATTTAGACTATGTAGTTAGAAAATATCCTTCATGTAATGTCTAAGAAAAACATAGACAATTTCTCCCCATATTGTTACCAAAGCACCATGTCTGAGTTACGGATCTCAGGGAGGAAGCATCTTACTAACCCTAATTACCCTGTGTTTGGCTTGGATAAATTGTTAACTGATTATTTAGTTATATCACACAACCCAACATGACCTCATTTTCAGTAAAAACATACGATTTGATCCAAAGCCTTCCACAGTACTCCATAATTAGATGCCTTATCCATCAGGCTTCAAGAAAACCTTAATAAAGAGTAAAACAAGAATTTTTCATGTGTTAAGTTATACACCAGAGGGAGTCCCATGAATATAACACAAACATACTGATATTGCCAAAGAAAATTCAATTAAAAATTACGTGCACTCTAAGAGTTACAAAGCTGAAAATGTGTTGTGTAATTCAGGTCAAATAGCATTGAGTACAGATATTCTTAAAAATTCGACTTTACTTATTAGACTTTCCATCTCTAAGAGCGTCTAGGAATTTTCCTAAGTGAATTTCAGAACTGATGTAAGACGCATAAACAACATTTTTTTCTTCATGTTAATGTTCAGAATATGTTTGTAGGTATGAACACATGTACTGTGTGCTTAGAAGTAATGCCATATTGGGGATCTGCTTTCTCCTAAAAATTGATCAAATAGCTGATCTTTTGATGATTTTACTTCTGATGTGCATAAATATTGTTTCAAGCTAAATCGAACTAACTACTTTGTATGAAAAAGAATCTGGATTTCTTCCCAAAGTCACATCCCATATTTAGTCACTGCAGTGACTGCCCCTTTACACCTCGTACCTCCCTGAGTCGTGTAAGTGGAACCTGCACATGAAACCAGGACGATTTGCTTCTATTTCAGCCACATTTTCCCCTTGACTTCTCCTTCTTGTGCAGCCTTAGAGTGTACAGTGGACATGGAGAATCTTGCCAAATACAAGCAACAGTAACTACAGGCGTCAGTGGTGATGGTCCCCAAAGAGCTTTAAATAATGCTTAAAAATCTAAAATCAAGGAAAGCTGTTAATATCTTCACAGGCTCTTCATTTCCTTAGTTATATTTTTAAAAGCAAGTTTCAATGGATTTTATTTTGCTTATTACTCTAATCCATTCATATAATTAGTATTAAACATGTTGCCAAATGTTACTTTATTAACAGAATGTAAAAGGAACTACCCGACATAGGAGCCTTTTTTTTTTTAAACAAGTTAAGGGGTAAGAATTAGTCAGATGCTTGAAAATTTTAAGCAAGGTGTTAAATCGCTGCTGAAAATGTAGAATTCCTGGACTGATAGCTACTATTCTTTTGGAAAAGCTATTTTACCGGTGCGCCATCCTATTTCTTTTAAATGTTCTTTTTTTTTTTATTGTATTATTATTTTATTTTTAAAATTTTAAAACTTATTGTCTGGGCAAGGTGGCTCATATCTGTAATCCTCGCGCTCTGGAAAGCTGAGGTAGGCGGATTGCTTGAGCTCAGGAGTTCCTAACATGACACCAGAAGGGGCTGCCCTGAGGTCAGACACTGAATTGTGAAGTCGTGAGGTGATGATTGAAGTGCGATCACGAAACCTTCACTCTTCACAACTTTAGCACAACACAGCCGTATGCTGATGTAATCATTTCCACTAGATACTGGTTCTCATTTTTGTTTTTTGTTTTTGCTTTAATTTTCCAATATTTTATTAGGCAATTGTTAAACATACAATACATCGTATGTATGTTATACAGTGATATTATACACTGATCACCCATGCACCCACCATGTACATTTCTTTACATGTGGGGAATTTGTTTACAGGGAGGCCACAAATTTTGTGCCCTCATCACAATGACCCCAGATTCCGTTGGGTGTGTTGTAAATGGAGGAGCCGTTCTTCAGGCCCCTGTTCTGAGCACACGCCCTATTCTCGCTTTTTGTGAAGAAAGCCCAAGATAGCTTCAGGAAGGACTCTGGGGAAGGCAGTCTGGTGAGTACTCTCTGCCTCCTCACTCCCCGGCCTTCCTGGCCAGCTCCATCCTGCCCCGTCTCTGCCCTAAACGCCCCCCCTCCTTTCACTTACACCAATTAGCTGCTTCCTCCTTAACCGTACCAACATCACCAAATGACCTTTCTCTTCCCACCTCCGGGTCTTTTTCCCCCTTTAGTCAGTATATCTCCTGAATATTGGTGCGACAGCCCTATTTCCTTATAGGGAAACTGGGGTCTCCTAGGGGACTGGTGACACTAGAGAAATTCCAGGGTAGTGGTGATAGTCTGGTCAAAGGTGAAAGAACAAATCAAATACAAATGTCCCTGCACAGAGTCTCAGCTCACAGTTCACCTGCCCTGTGCACCACTTCACAGCTCTGGGTGAGACACAAGGCATCCTGGGCCTGTTAGGTCTGCGGAAGGTAAAGGTAGCAGGTGGAGAGTGGGGCTGGACTGAAGCACCAGGGCCCCCTCCCACCTTAATCTAATCTGGGGTCATTACCGTACAATTAACCTGGCAAATTTCAACTCCATCACCCCCACAGCCCCAGGGGTTCTTCAGGGAGGCAGGGGAGACTCTTGAGTAATAAGGAGTTTGTTATGTAACCACAACCTGTCATGCACCCCTAGGGACAACAGATGAAGAAACACCCTGAGCTCCCATTTCAGACCAGCACCGTGATGAGCACTGGGGACATCACACAAGCCAGACTTTTCTTGCATTCTTATAGCTCATCATCTATTGAACACTTTCCTGAGACTTGGAAGAATTAAGGTGCAAGAAGGAAGAGAAAAGATTAGAACCTAATGAAAGAAAGAGTTTGTTTTTTTTTTTTTTAATTAAGCACAGCTGTGTACATTAATGCAATCATGGGGTACAATGTTCTGGTTTTATATAAAATTTGAAATATTTTCATCCAACTGGTTAACATAGCTTTCACTCTGGAACATAAGGCAAGGCTGTTGTAAGTCCCAGCATTGCAGGGGACAGAATGGAACCGAGCAGAAAGACTGGTTAAAAACCAAGGTTTATGGAACCAGACCCAGAGACCAAAAGGAAACAGAAGCACTTATGACCAAAGTCCTGGGAGGCAACACAGAAAATCAGAGTCAAAAATCTTTAATTTGAAATGATTCCATGTGGCATCATCTCCTTTATCTAGAGTGTCGGCGCTTGGCAAAATCCAAGTCTGACTCCTGTGTAAAGATGTTTCCCTGTTGCTCCCCGTGAGGGATAAACTCACCTGGGAGAAGACCACGTGCTCTGTAAAGGTAACCGTCTTGCTGCCCCCACCTGGGCCCAGCCCAAACAGTGCTGCAAGGTGTTAAGCCAGGAGCCCTGAGAAAGGAGCTGCATTGATGACCTGAGGACAGCCTCGTCCAGTGTCACCAAAGAGTTTGGTGTGGCCTCCACAGATAGGGTGGCTCCTGCACTGAGCCACCTGAGGTAGAATGCTTAGTGAAGTCACCTTCATTCCAATGCAGACAACATGTACCCAATGGCAGGCAACAAGCATTTCCTTGAAGCAACTAAGATGAGAGTCTCCAGAAGTTTTGGGGACTTCACTGTCTGAACTAAATATGATCTCAGGAGCATATCCAAATATGTCAACTGCCCCGATGGTGTTAGAATGCAAATTATAATAAAAGCCGAGACTTACTGACCATTTATGTGCTGGAGACTATGGAAGTGTTTTTACACAGATTGTCTAACTTACAAGAGTAATACCATAATGCTGTGAGCAGATAGTATCAGTATCCCAATTCTTGGGGCTATCCCAAGTTCACACAGCTCGGAAGTTATAGAGCTGCAACTTGAACCAGGTACCTGGACTCTGGAGCCTGAGCCTGTGACCATCACACCACATGTCACCCCACACTGTCACACTCACTGAACCCCAGGGCTTTGAATCTGAAGCAAGTCCTTTGTAGACTTTTTAAAATAATAAAAATGAGACAGAGTTCATAATATATTGAATCTTAGAAGGAGTTTCCGATCCTTTTTATTTTCCTGAAGTCATGAAGATCGTTAGTGGTCTGCTGGGACCTGAGTCTGTATTTTAGCTGCCTCCATTATCAGTTGGGGAGCCAGAGATGCTGCCCCTTGTGCTACGGGAAAGGCCAAACTCTAGACACCCAACTCTGGCCAGATGAAAGGGACAGCAGTTCACTCGTCAGACCACACTGATCACGGAGGAGGAGGACACTGCCTCCGCGGAGGGCACATGGGCTGCCCTGGGGAGCAGAATGAGCAGCAGGGCCGTGAGGTTTGTAGCACTGAGATGATGTGGTCCTCAGGTGGCCTGAGGACCTCCAACTTCACCAGACATCAAGACAGGCCATAACATGGGCCTTAATGTGAATCCTCACGGCACAATCTCTACGTAAGACACAAACAGATGAGACACAAAGGGGACATGCAGGGCAGATGCCTGCTAGAAGAGAAGGGAGTGGGGCTGGACGACTAAAGCCATGTGGAACGGGAAATGCCACATGGGTCTGGGGAGCCCAAGCCAGATTTCCAAGGGCCTTGACAGCCCATAAAGATTCCTGAGCAGTAGAAGCACCAGACCCAGTGGATGTTTCAGGAGAAACGTATCTGTCTTCAGGATGGGAGGAGGAATAGGGACAGGCACAGAAGATTACTGTTTATTAAAATCAGTACAGGGAGAAGCCACGAGCATTTGAGCTGGAAAAGTGGCCCCAGTGGAAAGAGGAGTAAAAGAGAAAGTCAGGAGAAATTACAGTGGCCCAGACCACAGGACCAATCACCTGACCGCCGTGGGGAGGGAAGAGCAGACAGACTCAACAAGTCCTCTGAGATAGCCTGTCCCGGTTTAAAGTTGTGTTAGATTGTACATCATGGACTTTTTACATTGATTTTGAGTTCTAAAAGTAAGTATTATAACATTTATTTCGACTACAGAGCATATTGGTTTTCTGTGACTCTTGCAACAAATCATTATACATTTAGTGGCTAAAAACAACAGGACTCTGTCCTCTCTCCCAGTTCTCGATGCCATAGATCTGAAGTGGAGGGGTGGGCAGGGCTGCTCCCTGGGGAGGCTCTAGGGGAGGAAGTGAAAAGAACTTCTCAAAAGACAAGCAGAAAGATGGCTAATGTCTTCTGTTCATAGCAGAGGAAGGCAGAGGGCCGGAGAGCTCGTCTCCGATTCCATTTCAGATCCCTGTGTGCCCAGTGATCTGTTGAGCAAAGGAAGGGGAAGATGCTTCAGTTCTTGTTGTGAACTTATTTCCACTTTGGAAAACCATAAGCGCTTGTTTGGTCTTCCTTTCTTTCCCTTTCTTCCATAAAAAGTCCTGAAGAAGCAGAGCTAGACATTGGGCAGCTCCAGGATTGTGTGGCAATTGTTAGTTATGGTGAGGGAAGGGGCAGAGAGGGGAAAAAGGACGATGTCAAGAGTCAGGAAAACACAATGGAGGCAGTTGTTCCAATTCTGTTTGCTTTCAACGTAATCTTAGTCCCTGGCCAGAAGTTTAACGTGTATTTGGTGAGCTAATGCTGTGTGCACTGCGGTCTCTGCAGCTCAGCTGTGCAGCTTCAGTGATGAGGAGATAATGTGAATAGTGCACACACCTTCTCCACACTGAGAATATGTATGAAGGGAGGTGAGGGGAGAGAAGACGGAATTCCACACTCACAGCAACCTGACCTCTGGGTAGACAGGAGCCAGCACGACGGAATGTGCAGTGAGCCAGAGTCACAGCCCGGCTCACATCACCAGAGGTCCTGCCCTCTGCCTGCTGGCCCTTTCTGAGAGAATTCTCACGCAGGAAAATTTGCATAACTTGCAGGAAAGGGAGCTGGAGCCAAATAACTTCAACGAGTATAGAATGCCAGCCTGGTCGCAAGGCTTGTCAGGAGGCCAGGATTGCGGCATCAGGCACAGCTCCCACCAGCTCTGTGCTGCTCTGTGCTGCGGACATCATAGTTCTGCCTGTCCAGCGGGCAGCTCCTCATCTTGTAGCAACAGCATTCCCATTTCCATGTGGGGAATCACTCAGCCATCGTCACACCCGGAACTGGCAGTACCAGAGCTTGGTGAGCTTGAGGGTGAGAGTAAAAACCAAGCTAAGACTCTCATAGTTTTACTCCTAGAAATGTGCCTGTGGAGAGGAGTGACAGCTGAAGAAACCGATCCATCGATCGGAGTTAATCCCTCCTGACTTTGTGCTGGTATGACAATCCATCAGCACGTGTTGCCCACATATCCAGGGCCACACTAGTTTCCGTCTTTTCTAAAGCCTGGGTGGCAGATTCCTCCCTAATTCTGAGAACAACCTCAAAGCCTTTTAATAACTCTCTTATTGATTAAATTAGCCAGAGGCACTTTCCTTAGCTTTCAACTAAAGAACCTAAGGAATTCATCACAGGACAAAAGAAGTGAGTCAAGAAGCTGGGAATTGAGTGACACCTGGATTCCAGGTCTGGGAACACACAGGGTTCCCTAATACTCCTGAGCCTCAGTTACTTCATCAGTAGATGATATAATTGGATTATATGATTCTAAGGTCTCTTGGCTTAGAATATTCTGGAATTTTAGGTTCCAAACAAAAAACTTCTCTTCACAGAGTTGTATTCATTTGTAAACATAAATTATTTTACGTTATTTAACACATTAAAATATTATCTGTATTGTGTTGGTCATTGGGGATACAGAAGTGAAGCTGAGGTACGGAAGTTATCATCTAGTGCAGGTGGTGAACTCTAGATAAATATCATGAGAAGTATTATAGTCTGTGGGAAGTGTTATATGCTGTGGGAAGTGTTATAGTCTGTGGGAAGTGTTATAGTCTGTGGGAAGTGTTATAGTCTGTGGGAAGTGTTATAGTCTGCGGGAAGT